GCACGAATTTCATGCATCGGGCCTCTAGTATATTAAATGGACATTTTATAAAGGGTAAAAAGAGATTTAGGTAGATGTGATGTTTCTAAATTCTATGCTGCCAAGTTATAACACCATTGCTATATTGCAGAAGTTTATACGATTATTCTCTCTTACAGATCTAAAACAGATCCTGTCACAGGAGCTGTGAAAAATACAAAGTACCATCAACTTTAGTAAGCTTTCCAACTTCTGTTTCCCATGCACATTTGAAGTTTCTGTGTACTATTTTATGATGCATAAAAATATTAAAAATGCCCTCTATTTTCCTGCTATGTTGTGCCATGAAATAGACAATTGATGATTCATAAAAATGTACCAGTCACATTATTAGAATCACAACAGTGACTTCTCTGGCTTTTAGCTGCCTTTACTGGATCGTGTGTGTTCCTCAGTTCTGTTTGGTCTTTGGCAGTGACTTGTTGGGATTGGTGACTTACCTGGACTGGGTCATGATCATTGTAACCATCTGCTCCTGCATTTCCATGATGTTCGAATCTCCCTTCCGAAGAGTCATGCATGCACCTACTTTGCAGGTACCTCTGCTGAATCTTAACCCACAGCTCCGAGGAAAGACACTGACCTGCATCTTTTCCATTCACTGTGATCAAACTGCCTTTTGCTCATTTCAGATTGCTGAGTATGTATTTGTGATATTCATGAGCATTGAGCTTAATCTGAAGATTATGGCAGATGGCTTATTTTTCACTCCGACTGCTGTCATCAGAGACTTTGGTGGAGTAATGGACATATTTATATATCTTGTAAGTCTTTGATTATTTCCTAAATATAAAATATAATGGATTTGTAAAAGCTCCTGCTTTTCTTGGTACAAGAGTGAGATATGTGAGTCACCAAAGTTTAGATGCCAAAACTGAGTTCTTAAGTAAAGTACTAGTAAGTCCATTATAGCTGAATAAGAGGCATGCATATAAAAATCTAAATGGAAAGCATCAAAAAGATTCATGGAGAATACATCATCCACTTTTATGTATGCATAAGACATGCATTAATGAGGTCTATGATAGCAAAACTAGTTTGCCCCCCACAATTCTAATGGCTCCAATACTAAAAAAAAAACACCTACATCATATAATTGATTGATGAGCTGCCTTACTACTAAAAACAAACTAAAGTGAAAGTGGTTGGACCTTTCTCCCAATTCTAAGGCACAAAATACCTGGCTAGGAAAGACCATTCAACTGTTTGGTTAAACTAATTTGAGAAACCATAAGAAACAACTCAAAGAAATTTCTTTCTTTTTTTTCTCTTTATGTTCAAGAAGGTATAAAATCAATTTCTTTTCAGCACAGCAAGGAGAACTGTGACCCTTAAGTGCAACATGTACAGGTAGTTAATAAAATAGTATTAGGTCATGAATTAGGTTTAGTCTCTTTGATCAAAGGAATTTCAATCCTGCTGACATGAGTGGAGCCTCCAGTGTGTCAGTAAGAGAAAGGCCAGAGTGCACTGGCACACACCCATGGTGGCACCCCGTTCCATTCCTGCATATGCCTGATGACTTTGCTTTAGGGTTGCTTGGGTCTAGATTGGGTTCATAGTTTAGAGTGAAGAGACTGCATAGTCACTGGGTGAATGCGAGTCCCATATAACACATGGAGTCTCTCCTAAGGGATAGTTGTAGTCAGTTGGCTCTCAGAAAATGTACACAGTGGCAGATAAATTGTATAAATTTCAGAGATGATTTTTTTCCCTCTAGGTGAGCTTGATATTTCTTTGTTGGATGCCTCAAAATGTGCCTGCTGAATCAGGAGCTCAGCTGCTCATGGTGCTTCGGTGCCTAAGGCCGCTGCGGATATTCAAACTGGTGCCACAGATGAGGAAAGTGGTTCGAGAGCTTTTCAGTGGCTTCAAGGAAATTTTTTTGGTATGTTACCATTACCTTCCCTCCCAGTGCAGCGTCCACCTCTGTAATG